CTCGTTCTCTCAGTTGCTCCGTTCTTTTTGGAAGCTTTGGAGAGTGGGTGGTATGATATCTTCTTATCCTCATCCTACGCCAATGAGGAGGTAATTTATATGTTGAGAATCCGCGGCAGCATTCTGTTTGTCCAGATTTTACGGTCATAGAATAACATCAATATGACTGTCAAGGTGAGACTGAGAAGAAGAAAACCTGAATGTGTATTATCTGCCTTCCAAAATCTGGGGTAAGCAAAACTTTGTCCCCTACAAATGCAATACGAGGCTTATAGGAGTAGGACCCACCACTGATCCTTACCCTATAGAGATTAGAGAATGAGATTAGCAGCAGTAACAGTAAAACAAAAACAATCTTCAAATGTTTGTGTATTTCTTGTTAAATTATTTTGGCTCCCAAATCATTTCTTAGTATCAAGGTTCCAAGTTTTGCTATGTATTGATTTTTGAACCCTCCGATACGTTAATTATTAAGAAGCGTTAAATTCAACTAGTAGTAAAATTGAATTGTAATATACTCGAAGCACAAAAAGAAAAATAATAATAATAATAATAATAAATTTTGAACCATGCTTCACCCAAGTCTATTTCATCTGCCTCATCTTTTTCAGCCTTTTCGTGTTTTTTAATTTTTAAGAGCATCTCAGTTCAGAAATATTAGATATTAAAATGCTTGTTAGAAAATCCAGACAAAGCGACCAAGTAGAGTGTAGAGATCATAATTGAAGCTCTATACGTTTGAAAATTTAAAGAAATGCGGCACCGTAATGCTGATCTTTTATAGGGAGTCCCATTTGAAGTATTGTTATCGGCTAGAACAAAATGGATGGAGTGTTCACATCACTGTTTTCAAAACCGGACTGGATTGGACGGTTAGACCGGAAAAACCGGGAATCGGTCACCTGATCGGTTCCGTTTTTCTTTAAAACCACTTTTTCCTCTAAAACTGTTGATTTTGGTCAGCAAACCGCTGAATCGGCCAATTAATCGTTCAAACCGTTTGAACCGTTCGAATGATTTTGACCGTTTTCCAATTTTTAAAATATTTTATTCTTGTCAGAATGGACCGGCCATTTGGGTCGAACGATCGGACCGTTCGAATTGATAACCGGACCCTGACCGGTTCGCTTTTAAAAACCATGGTTCACACTTTTCATTACTACTGTAGTCCTCCAACTTTCTTTTTGAGTTTTGAAGGACTCACTTATTGAGAACAAGTGGTGTTTGGGAGTTGGGCTTGGACACAATAGTGTGGAGTGATAGATTTCCATTGTATGGATTGGTGGGTCCCAAACTGGACAAGTTATGGGGCCCATTACCCAAGCTGGTCCTCCGTACCTTATTATGTCCATTCCGTTCCTAACATCTACTTGTATTTTGCCTGGGGTACTGGCCAAATCTACGGTACTCATTCTTTTATGTGTTTATCTATTATTTATTATTATTATTAACAATAAAAAACAACTGTTGGACCATGTGTCATCTAAAGAAGTGCCCGAGACGAGTTGCTCGTACGGTCTAGATTTGCTGACGTGGCTACGTATGTGCCCACTTGCTAATATATATATGTATCCTAAAAAAAAAAAGTTATGGCAATAGACAGTAGACGGACATAAGAATTTATAAAGAAAGAGAAGGAATCCGTGTCTGCTAGCGTCTAGAGCGTTTGCTTTGGGAGTTGGGAAAAAAGAATGACGTCATTCACATGGGACCCAGGACAGCTGCCTCCGTGTCAGAACCTCACATGGTCAGGCGTGACCAAGGAGCTTTCCGTCGTACATCATCGTCATCCATTAACGGAGCCCACGTCAAAGTTCTCTGCCCCGGGAGTCTCGCTCCGAATTTACGAGGCAACCCCCCATGGCGTCACCTTGACGCCAATTCCAGTTTGGAGGAATATGTCCGGCTCGCCTGGGATTGGCCTCTGCACTGGGACTGTGGGACACCCAATCAGCCAAAGGCAACGCCCAGACACAGGTTGGGTCCCACGTCCTACCCATCTTATCCCTTCGATGACGTGGCACTCCCCTACCGGTCATTTTTGTCAAGTGGGGACCACCCCCTACAACTCTTGGGGAGACAACAACTGTCTGTCCGTCCCACCACCAACTCGTGGGTCCCACGAGTTTTTTGGCCTAGAGTCTCAAGAATCCAGGACAAGCGACCAAGTAGTCTCTGTCGCGGTGTCGTCCTTTGCTTTGCTTAGGAGTTAGGAAAGCTATTGAATTGGAATCCTTTATTAGGGAGTAAATTGGAGTTTGAATCTAGACATCGCTCGGGTTGGGATATGATATGGCTGTAATACCAAATCTTGGATCCGGGACCCCATATAACTTGCCACCTGTCAATTGTTTCTCAGTGGAGGGGGGGGGGGCTTATCGTACATAGGTACATGAAAACTTTGATGGACTTAAGCTAATTACCTAATACAATACAAATACAATCCATTGCTTTTAAGTTCAAGTTCTGTATTGGGCTTTGGCATCATTCTTGGTCCATTGTGTTGCCTTTGTCATATGCAGTTATGTGTGTGTGTGCGTGTTTTATTGTCGGGGGTAGATATCGCGGCCACCTGTGGCGCAGAGATGCTGGTGCTGGGTTAATGAGAAGAGACGAGGGGGGCCGGGGCCGGGGCCGGTGCCGAATCCTCAACCGAGGCGAGAACTAACAGATGTATGTTCCGGCCGGTGGCTAGAAACAGTCAGACAGCTCAGTCCTCAGGTAATTGATGTGCCGTCGCTATTTGTCTTTCTCTCAGAGTCTTGAGTGGAGTGCCTTGTCATGGTCGTGGACTCATGGTCCCCCTGGGGCTGGGGACCCACAGAGAATGGACAAGGAGATTGGTAAGTATAGGACCCAGCATCAAAAACTAGGGGCGGAACCAACAAGTATGTCTTCTTCAGTCTCGGGAAGGGACAGGGTGTGGCAACATCAGGATTCAGGATGGATGGATGAATGAATGAATGAATGAATGAATGAATGAGTAGTTGTTTTTAGATTTTGGTGCTTATTATATTCATGAAATTTCGGATCTTGTCTTTGTATTACATGCAGTGTGTTCGTTATACACTTGAAATGATCAGAGATGAAAATGTACTCCCACTAAAATAGTTTTTTGTTGGAAAATTATATTCCTCTCTCTCTCTCTCTCGTTGGAGTATTTTTGGTCTCATTTTCATTTACAAGATATAATACATTTTACTGAGATCTTTCTAAAGCCTAAAACAATGAACACCATTAATGAAAGCATAAGATCTAGGAGAGGAACAGAACTCTTTTAGGTTCTGTATGCTTCCAGAGAGAGAGAGAGAGAGATGTGTCTAAGGAGATTATCCCGGTGGTTTAAAGGAAAAAGAAACCTCAATTCGACTCAACAAAGCCTCATCTTCAACTACATGGAATTGGTTATTGGAATCCTTTTCCGCCATTTTGTTCTATTCATTCAGGGTGAAGGGTTATATCACAGGCAGGGGATCTGAGAGGCTAGGATTCCCACCTAATTTGTGGGTCAATCTCTGCTCACTTGCATCTCTGAGAATTTTTGGGTTCCTATTTTTGTACAGTTTTTGGTGCAACGGAATTGGCAAACACAGAAAAATTAACTGAGATACACAAAAATAACACAAGTGAACCTAAATAATCATCTCACTTTCATGGAATTGGGGTGGGAATAGAAGTCAAATCTAACTCTGCTCCAACAATCCATACCCAAAGTAACTGAGACAAAGCTTAATTTAGATTTAATTGAAGTTGTACATGTTTTCTTTTCTATAATGTTTTGAAATTGACATGCCTTCAAAACGTCAAATATTACAGGAGATTTGAAGGTAAAAAGACATGGTGTAGACTGTGGATTTTGTTTGATCCAAACCTTCCAAATGGTTGCAGGATACTGCCTCATCTCTAGCGCCTAATTTTGGCTTTTCTTGTGGCTCCATTTGTTTCAACGTAAGAGATCGAGTGGTAAATTTTTTCAACATGCATGAAATATTTCAACTATTTCTTCCTAACTTTTACATAAAAACCAAAGTTTAACACAGCTTTTCTGGCGAAACAAACACAGCCTATGGCATGAATATATCACTGAACATTGGAAGGGAGGAGTACAAATTTGCTTTTCTTTCCCTTCTACATCAAAGCAAATGAGTTGCTAAATTGAAA